GGGAGGGGGGGGGAGGGTACTTTTTCTAATGTATATTAAAGGGCTGCATTTTTTTGCCAGTAGCCAAATTTATCCGCGGGATGGCAAAAATCTTGACCGCGCTCAGGTGGCACCTACCCTAGTTATGTCACTGTGTTAAGGATATCATGTGCTCTACATGAATAAGGAATAATTGCGTAGTGATTGGGACTGCCTTGTTGACTTAGTGTAGTAAATTATAACAATCCCAGATTTCACACCCGCCCTCGGTAAAAATGTACAGACATATTTAAAACACACACATACTACAAAACAAATGCCGTCATTGAACTAACTCAGTTTGCTTTGTTCTCAATGGAATGTTTTGTTATTGTGATTAAGGGAAAGTGTAAATTTGAAAGTGCTTGCAATTTGCAACTGCTGATTAATTTTTCGGTTGTAGGATTAGAATTTGTTTAAAACCAAGTAGGCCTACAGACCGCCACTTTTAAAAACCCTGATATAAATTATGACTTTCATACGCTTTAACATAAATTATTTGTCCATCTAACGCAATTCTTCAAACTCTTCTCGCCACAGATCAGTTTAGGCCAAAATTGTATTATATATATATATAGGCATACATGTAGCCTACTAAGTCAACGCAACATCACACGCATTCGCCATGAAAGTCGGGTAGCACGTGCTCACTAACATTCTCTTGTAAATTAGAAATAGTATCTTACCCATTCGGGTAGATTTTTAACTGAAGATATGTAATATTTAAATATTTATAAATGTTATAATTTAGAATATTTTGATCACCTTAATCGAATTTACCAACGCGCCCCCTCTCTCTCCCACCCCCACCCACTTTTTTGGTGAAGGTTTTTATTTTGTCACATCATGCTTCAGTTTTTCATTTATTTAGTACTTAAACTGTTATTTGCAGTAAAATTTATTTGTATCAAAAATATATATTTATTTAATTCAATCATAATTTTGACCTGTTATAAAGAAATACAATGCCCAATAATTAATTCATATAATTCTCGACACATACGAGTCTCATTTAAAATACTAAAAATATTTAAAAAAAAAAAAAAACGGAATATAAGCCATTTCTTATTCATAAATCTTTGCAGATGGTAGGGAGTAGCCATTGAAAAAAAATATGATTGTTATTTTTAAAGCCGTACATATAAAATTTTATAGATAAAATGTTATTAAAATTCTATATATCTTGTTACTTAAAAATACTATTTTAATTTTTAAAAATTATGAAACTATTGTGAAAAAGTAACGTAATCTCAAGTGTTTTAGTTTTTAATATCTATCACTCCCCACCAATCTTTATGATTGACTAATCTACCTGAATGGAGACCAAAACCAAGGTCTCTCACTTAAGTTGTTTTGTTGACATACTTAAACTATTGTTGCGGTTGTGTTCACTGACTATGTTAAAAATGGATTAAGAAAAAATGTTGTAAAAATTCCATTGCAGTAATCTATACTTTTAAATATGTCTTGTCTGGTCTAAAACACATTCACATCGGTGAGGAAATTTAATCTAAGTAAGTCTAAGACTAAATTAAGGCCCAGGCTAAGGCATCTAAGATGATATACAATCTAAGACTGACTAAGACAAGAATTCTAAGACTTAACTCTAAACTAGGGTGACCAAATCATGAACTGGAAAAAAAGGGACACACCCAAGGAGGGTTTGGGGGAAAAACCTCCAGCTAAAAAAAAAAAAAGGGGGGGGGGGGAACTTTTTATTGAAATATGTTAATTTTAACTATTTTGAGACCTTGAAATCTTTTTAAATTTACCTTCACTTTTGTAACTTAATTTAAACTCTGAGGCATATCAAAAACGAAAACAATAATTTTGCAGTGAATACTTATTTATGTATGCATATAAGATCTATGACAGGGCCACTGTCATTTATGCAGTGTCGGCAGAGTGGTCGATGGGGAACAGTTCAGCCACACACTAGCCCACATCACTACTGGCACTGGCTACACAGCTAGCCAAAATATTACTTGAAGTTATATTATAAATTCAGAAGTTTTAGTGATTTGAAAATGTGTTTGGTTTTAAATACGGGACATTTAGGCGTCCCGAGAGACTTTTTTGGGACATGTACGATCGTGAAAAAATGGGACAATCCCATTTTTATGGAACGTTTGGTCACCCTACTCTAAACTTAACTAAGGACTAACTTACTAAGACTAAGAAGAGTCTAAGAAAGACTACTTAACTTTTACTTAAGGGCATTAAAAGACTAAATCTCAGGGCATGGCATAAGGCTAAAACAGACTAAGCTAGGCCCCAAAAAAATTAAATAAGAAAATTGGACTGCCAGTAGGCCTAATCTAATAGTAATAGTTTTATACTGGTCTATGTTGTTACTATACTATGGTCTATTTCATAAGCAGGGTAAAGAGTAGTATTACATTTCATTAGCAGTAATAAATTAAATAAATACACATTTGACAAAGTAGCCTAATAAGTAATTAGTTAATTTTAAGTACCCAGACTTAGACTTAGTCATTAAGTTAGATTATATAATAATAATTTATTAATAATTAAATACATAGGACTCCGAGTCTGTTTGGACGATTTTTTACTTTCGCCCCCCCCCCCCCCCACATCACTGTCACAAAAGGTAGACACCTCTATCACACATCATCACAAAATTTTGACCCCTTCTAATTGCGTGATGTTATTTATCGATTTACAAAATATGAAAGATGCAACAGATACACATTCATTATTAAAGTATAATTTAAATGTCTCAAGTCATTATAAGTTCCAAATGCTGTAATAAAAATTGTGAATAATAATATACGTTTTTAATCCTTGCTTTGGAATCTTTAAAAAAGTGAATATTTTGCTAGATGCAAATATAAAAATGTTAAACTGAAATTATTTCCATGTAAAAATTGGTATAGGCCTGCATGCAGAGATAAAAACTTTTGACCTTTGCAAGTGTAATTTATTATAGTAAATGTAGTAAGATTATTCAGTTTAAGTTGTAGGTCAGTGTCTACAGCTCAGCATTATTTTGCTAATATGATAAATTAAATTATTTTTTTAAATCCACAGATTTCTTGAATTTTAATAAAAATCTGATCAGCCTTTATACACCAAAAATGGCTGACAGTGCTAGTGAACTTGAGAGTGATGCCAGCTCCATTGATGGAGGCCCTACTTTTAGCATGCAGTCACCATCACCAGCTCAAGCTGAACAACTTAATAAGCGAATTGAGTCTCTGCAACAGGAAAATAGAGTGCTTAGAATGGAGCTTGATACCTACAAGCTTAAGTGCAAATCTCTACAGGAAGAGAACAGAGAACTAAGAAGAGCCAGTGTTTCCATTGTAGGTTTTTTAATTAAATGTTTGATTAGTATAATTATTTATTGCAAAATGTTCAGAGAGGAGTAAGCGTGCTTTTCTAAAACTTGTGATTTACAATCTACTTATGGTAAAGAAATGTACAAATTAAATGTGTATTTTCTTACGCAGTTATTAAACTTTTAAGACCCTATTAGGTTTTAATAAGAATTATATAATTTTGTTTCTAGTATGATTTACAACTATTTCATTCTATTTACTTTATGCATGTTCTAGTACAATATCTGATGCTTTATTTTATTAATAATAATAATATTAATTATTTAGTTAATCGCTGATATATTATTATTTAATTAGGTTTGAGTTCTGCTAATAAAATGTACAATAAGATATTATTTCACACAAGGCATTCTCTTTTTGTGTACAGCAAGCAAAAGCAGAGCAAGAGGAAGAGTTTATCAGCAACACTCTTTTGAAGAAGATTCAGTCTTTGAAGAAAGAAAAGGAAATGCTTGCAATGAACTATGAACAAGAAGAAGAGTACCTCACTAATGATCTTTCCAGAAAACTATATCAGGTATGAACTTCTTGAGAATCAATTTGAAATGGGCTGTAAATGTTTAAAAGTTTCAATGCTTTAGATTATAAATTTATCATTGTTTGTCCTTCTTAATATCAAGTGCTGAATCAATAATTCTAAAATAATTTTTGGGGCTGCAGATAAAGCTTGCAGTAGTTAATTCATTTGCAATTTATAGCTTATATACCATCATAAAACTACTGGCATATTTTTCTCAATAGCTGCGCCAGGAGAAGATTGAACTGGAAGAGACTTTAGAGAAAGAGCAAGAGTGTCAGATCAATAAACTTATGAGGAAAATAGAGAAACTGGAGGCTGACACATTCAATAAACAGCAAACTTTGGAGCAGGTACCTGTTTCATTCTCATACACCAGTCGGTTGTGGCACACACTTAAGTAAACTGGAGGGGGGGGGGGCACAAAGAATAGACTTGGTGGGGACAAAGATTCATGTGTATTTACAAAAATGCAAGTCCTCAAAATATTAACATTTATTTAATACACCAGTCGGTTGTGGCACACACTTAAGTAAACTGGAGGGGGGGGGGGGCACAAAGAATAGACTTGGTGGGGACAAAGATTCATGTGTATTTACAAAAATGCAAGTCCTCAAAATATTAACATTTATTTAGAATAGACAACTTCCTAGAATCTGCTACTGCATAGAAAAGGGTATTTAATAATCACTTCAAAATTTTTTTTGAGCTATTTGAACACTGATCTTAAAATAATTACTTTGCAGCACTTTTTAAACAAAACCTTATAGCAAAAAATTTTTATGGATTGCATGCACTGTAGTCTAAAAAATATATTGAATTTAAAATTAAATGCTGTTTATTATCTTAAACCTAAGATTTTTAGAAGTTGAAATAATGGCTTCTTAATTTTAAATTACATGCTTTTAGATTAGGGCTAAGACAACTTTTACCTCTTTTACAAACACTTACAGTTATACTTTATTTAATGGTTTTCTGCCTTTTATAGTGACTAGCTAAAGACGGTGGATTCATATATTTTCACTGCAGTAATTATCTCAACGCGCAAGTCTGAGGTTGTTTTTTTTTCAAATTTATAAAGACCTAGGGTCCCCACATCCCATAAAAGTATTTTAAAATTGCATTAGGGGAAAGTAAATTTTTGTTCACATGATCTTATGTTTTAAAAGTTTGTCTTAAGCAGACCTGCCAACCCTTCAGATTTTGTCGGAATTATACTGATTTTTTACCCCTCATTCCGACCTTCCGACAAACCCCTTAAAATTCCAATTTTCTGAACATTATAATTTTTCACCCGTCATAAAAAAATCCAAAAGTGAATAAATTAAAAAAAAAAAATTGGATACTACAGGAAGTGATGCATTTGGTAGATGCCTCTTCTTTTGTTTTTACGAAGTGTCTACATGTCCGGCGATCGGATCAATAAGTTCTCGAGATATTCGTCTGGCTGTAATTGTTATATATTCGACCAAGTCACAAGACCGCCGTAACAAAGTTGCGCGAGATATTTGTCAGTGAGCCTTGTCACGTGACCGCTATTACTATAATAGTAGTAATAGTCGATCAGAGTTTACGGTACTTCATTTCAACAAATTCAAGGTAGTCTGGACATTTACACGAAAAAAGAAATATGTTCAATTCTACAAAAGAAATACTAGAACCATTGCTGGTATATATAATGAACGATTAGTTAAAAGTGACGATGTTTTTTATAAAGCGTGGCATGCCCGCCGGATGAATATCTCCTGCACTATTTGTCCGGTCGCCTGACGTGTAGACACTGCCTAGGTTTTATAGAAGCGAACCGCGATCTTCAAATCATTCTTCAATCATCAATTGATCCGATTGTGATTCATCCTTTTTACAAGGCTAAACAATAATTCAGACTTTTTTGTTTGTTTTGTTAGAGCTCTTCTTAATTAAATGGTTAAATCTATTGAAAGTGATGAGTACGATGATATTAAAACATATTTTACACCCCCCCCCCCCTCTAAAAAAACAAAACAACAACAACAACTGCAGCTAAAGGTAATCCATGTCTAATTAATTTCTAATGAAAGTTAATACTTTTTCTAACTTGCTTGTAACTAAAATCAGTTGCAATGCTAACCTTCAGTTGTCCATCCGATTGTGATTCATCCTTTTTACCAGGCTAAACAATAATTCAGACTTTTTTGTTTGTTTTGTTAGAGCTCTTCTTAATTAAATGGTTAAATCTATTGAAAGTGATGAGTACGATGATATTAAAACATATTTTACCCCCCCCCCCCCCTCTAAAAAAACAAAACAACAACAACAACTGCAGCTAAAAGTAATCCATGTCTAATTAATTTCTAATGAAAGTTAATACTTTTTCTAACTTGCTTGTAACTAAAATCAGTTGCAATGCTAACCTTCAGTTGTCCAAAATAGCTTGGACAAGTGCAAAAAGGCCACTAGTACTAAGGATATGCTAGAAAACTGAACTCTTAGCAGCCTGTGTACATATGTAAATAAAATGGATCTTCTGTTCTGTACTGTATATATCTGTATATAAACATTTCCAGTAATGTTTTTCTCATGTTCTGTGGTGTTCTGTGGCCTCTTCAAAGACAATGGAGGTAACTTTATATTTCTTTATTTACTAAAAAAAGGCTTGTGAGTTATTATATAGATCTTAAAACACCCCCCCCACCCCCCGCGTGCACACACACCCACACACACACCCACACACACCCCCCTACAGATTTTTTTCTTGGCAGGTTGGCAGGTCTGTTTATGTTATTAGGTTTTTAATGTCTCCAATAAAAATTGTAAAAACCTGACTTAATATTTAGATCATTTGCAGCCACGATATGTCGTTTTTAAAATTGTATACCTTAATTATGAATAGATCAGACCATTTTAACAAATACTAAATTACATTACAATCTTTGTACTTCCATATCATTAAGCTGAGAAGGGAGAAAGTAGAACTTGAAAATTCTCTTGAACAAGAACAAGAATCTCTTGTTAATCGACTCTGGAAAAGAATGGATAAGCTGGAAGCAGAGAAAAGGTATTCAATCTGAAGCTTTATGTCAATTTGATTTGACAGCTGACTCATATGTACCAGTAATTTTTAAAATGATATTATTTCAATATGACACTTGTTGTTTTTTTTTATTAGAATAAAATATTATAATTTTTTATTGCAGACTTCTACAAGAAAAGCTTGATCAGCCAGTCTCAGCCCCCCCAAGCCCAAGAGACATAAATAATGGGGATACAGCCTCTAACTTAGTTCAACATATTGACAGTCTAAGGTCAGAGGTCACAAGACTGAAGGATCAGTTACGGAATGCACAGATTGAACGTGAGTTGCACATTTAAAAAAGTATTCTTTCAGAGTTATTGTAAAATTTAATATTTATCAGTATATTTTAACGATTCTTAAGGTTGTGATAGCAATAGTGATTTAAGCCATGTTATAACTTTTAGCCATTCCTAAAGTGTAGAGATTAAGTGTAAGAAAGTTGCAGGTAGATAAAGCATACTACTTATGCTTGTACCATTTACGTTTAGATGCAGAGAAGATGGCACAGTATGCTCAGGAGGAGAGGCATATCAGGGAAGAAAACTTGCGTCTGCAACGTAGGTTGCAATTGGAGATGGAAAGACGAGAGAATCTTTGCCGTCATTTGTCAGAATCAGAATCCAGCTTAGAAATGGATGATGAAAGGTGATTTTAATCATTTTATTTTATTGTCAACTAAAGGAGAACATTCTTACCACAATATTTTGGAGAATGGGCTTAAATATTATTGTTAACTTAATTAGATATTATTTGCCTCATACTTCTTCAGTCGTGATCCATGAATTATTGGTTTCTTTCTTCAAATTCTTGTACAAGTTCATACGTCGTAATCACACAGAATTTAACACAAGTCCCTTTTCCAATAGCAATGTTAACTTTAATCCAGAAACATATATCGGGCTGTAAAATGAATCAAACACATTCATAGTGCGGCTCTGTACAAGTAGAAGAATATAGTACAACCTTCATCTAGAATGTTAATCACACCAACTTCCAAACCAATAGCACCTACACCAAAGACTGACTATTGGGTACATTCACGAACGAAAAAACTTATTATTAAGAGTACATTGGGTTGGTGAATATCATTTCCGCTTTCATATCATTTGTTGTTGTCATTGTTTGGCTGAGTAAACATGGATCGGATGATGTTACTGTTAATGGAGAGGAAAGAAATTATTCAGATTAAAAGTATAAATTTTTTTTTTTTAACTATATTATTGAGTCTGTTTTAATTAACCCTTCTTAATGTACTGGAATCGAGTTTAGAAACAACATACATGATTTTGGAACCAACCTAAAGTGGTAAAAGTAGGAGGCCACCACAGTCAAGCTACTCTGTTTTACAAAAATTTGAAGGTAGCCCATAGACACTAGTCACAGATACAATAAAAAATAGTAACCCACCTAATGGTGGGAAAAGCGCTCATTAACTAAACTAGCAAACAAGACACAGCGCATAGTAAACACAATATTCGGTGTGCAACAATTACTAGTGAATACCCATACTCCACAACTTCATCTTTGTACTAGTTTTTCATATTTCAGTCATTTATGTTTTCAGGTTTTACTAATGAATTTGCAGATTATAGGTAACCAACTTATTATTCCAAGTTGATGATTAATTGGTATGACTCTTTATGGTATATTACCATCTACAGTTAATGGCAAAATGCATTTTCAAAGTAATTATTATTGGCTGATATAACAAGATGGATGAATCAGTCAAAATGCATATAGGAGCAACCCTCTGATGTTTTAATTATGCTTTTTATTAACTTTTTTCCCAGGCACTTCAATGAGATAGCCAAACACCATGAGGCCACATCTAGTAGTCACAATGTTAGACCCCGTACTGTGTCTAGTCCAATACCTTACAATACAAATGCACCCAGGTCTATTTCACCCAGTAAGTTCACCAAAATCCTACTTGCAAGTGAGAAAATGTATTTGCAAGCTCAGAAAATTACAAAACTGCAATTAATATTTTTAAAATTACAATTTTTTTCAAGCTTATAAATAAGTTTACAATAACTAGCAGGCATTTCACTAACTTTTTCAGCTTAGAATCAGTTTGCTTTTGCCCAAATAAAGGGTTCAGGAAGTATGTAATTTGACATTTTGAATGAATACCATTCTCAGATGAGAGGCATGGAATTATGCTGAATCTCCACTATATGTATTCATTACAGTAATATGTAAAATCTATATCACAGCGACACTTAAATTTTAGGATCATTTCAGATCTGTTAAAAGTCTATGGTGTCCTTCTCAGAAATCACTCTGCAATCAGTTTTGTCAGTTTCCCTTTGCTTTGTTTTTATTTCATTCCTACCATTTTGTAAAAAATCAATGTATAGTCCAACTTTCTTTTTCTGTGGTCTATTATCCTGAACTTTGTGATAATTGAACTTGAGGAGTTGAAATTTAAAAAAAAATTATTTTGAATATTGACTTCTGATGTATCTTTTAACCTCATTACCCAATTTTAATATTATTTTATTTGAAAAAGATAAAATAGCTACATAAAAACTAGAGTTATGAATACTAATAAAGATTTTGGAACAATGAGGAATGAAACATATTTGGAAGGTTTTTGAATGGGGATAAAGTTTTAATGTTTGTTTTGATTTGTTTACTTTATATTGCACTGCCAAAATAATATTTTTCAAACCTGCTAGTTCTTTACTTGGTTTAGGATATAGTGTTTAAATAAAACTATATGGGGATTTTTTTAAAATATTGTTTTAATGCTTAAAACATTTTCATATTATCAGGTTTGACTTTGTCATATTATCAGGTTTGACTTATGTTGCTGCTAAAAGCCCTCCAAGTCCTATGCGTCGCCCGCAGCCTGGGCAACCATTCCATCCACCAGCCCAGCCAACCAACACACCCCACAGTTATCCTTATGGTGCTGCCCCACATCACCCTAGTGCCTTTGTTGGTCCAGGAACCTCACCACCCGTTTTCGGTGTTGGAATTGGTGCAAATGCCAATCTTCAGGTTTGTAATTTCAGTTGTAAAAAAAATTTGTCTTGCTTTTTTTACTCTAACAGGAGTTTTATTTAATCAGTTTTTCGGTGTGTCTTTGTTTTAGAAAAAAGAATTCCTGTCATAGATAATGACACCCCTTTTTTAATTCTTATTTGTGTTCCATTCAAAGGTTAATTTTCATGTTACACTTGGGCACACAAGGTATATTTTGTGAATTAATAAGCCAAATGTTCCTGTAAGTTGTATATATTTTTGCCAATTGGAACATAAATTATACATCTGCATTTTAACACACACAAAAAAAGGATCTATTACAGAACAAATTTTTTTCCTACATAAAATTATTTGATGGCCTAAAACTCATTTCAGCAAATGCAGAGCAAGAAGCAAAAGAAATGAATGAACAAGCAAGTAACTAGACCATAATTTTTAACATCGATAACAACAATAAAACTTAACACCTGTCAACTTATTTCTGAATTCTTTTAAAAAAATTATGGCATGCGCAAAATGTGGGCAATATTTAGAAAGGTTTAAAATAATTGATTTTTTTCCCATGTGCTTAATGTGCTACATTTAGAATCGTTGGGTTTGCATCAGCTTACAGAGCTTACTTATATTTCTTCAAGCTTTCATTTTTTTGCCTTTATGAAAATTACCTGCTTAATAAAAATGTATATTAAACCACTTTCAAATATATTAAGCTTATTTTATAACTCTAAATAAAAATAGTATTATGAATTAGAAAATATATAGAAAGAAACTTCCTTTTCTTTCTTTCAAAGAAATTTGTTTTAACTTTCCGGTCAATATCTTGATTCTGATATGTACTTTATGTAGTAAAATAAACTACTTAGGTTTCCAAAATTATATTTAGTGGTGAATAGGTTAATATAATATTTATTGACATTTCATGTACATCACAGGACACTTTTTTTAAGATCCTTATTTATTTAAAGTATATGAACATTTGTCCCCAGTATCTGTTTAAAAGTACTTTGAAGTGAATTTGTAATTGAATAGTTAATTTTTTTCTTAAAACAAAACCAAAAAGATATAAAAAGGAATGATACTGACTTTATACGCCTGGTAGAACCTGATATATAAAATGATATAAGTTATTAATAACAGACATATTTTCACTAGGACTAAGCAAATAACAGATTAGTTATATTAATGACACATGGTCATGGAGTTCAGGATATTAAAACATGTTGAAAACTTACTCCTTATCATTTTCAGTGCTTGTTTATTAATTTACTTTTAAAGATTGCTTCGAAACAAAAATTGGTATAAAATATAACAATTTTTTTCTAAACACTCCCTCCTCCTTCCCCCCACACACATACACCTTTAAACTTAACTAATTTAAATGTACTTAAGTTACAAATCCTACACAAACATAGGATCCTGTATATGTGATTTTTTACTTATATATGCTTATGAAATACCCAACCTCTAAACTGTTTAAATGGAACTGGAAATAATATAGCCAAATATAAGAGAACAATCTTTATATTATCATATCTCAGCAGTCAAATCTAAAATTAGCCGACCAATGATAGTTGCGGATAAATGAAAATTTAAATCTTGACCAATAAGAAAATGTGTTTGAACTAAAATTGAACAAAAGGCTATGAGTCATCAGAACAAAGAGCTCCCGCCAGGCTTATTTCTGGACATTTTAGTGGGCAATACCAGTAAAGATTAGTTAGGCTAAGCTTTCGATCGATACCAAATATGCCTAGGTAGCGTTGTAATTATATTATAAAAGCAAAGGTCGCTCAAGGGTCTGTATTTGCCTGAATTTCGCCCCGAAGTCAAATTTACCTCTTACCATACTACTCTAAAATACATTTTTAACAACTTTAAATTATTTTTTATGAAAATGGTAAAAAACAAAATGTTCTTGAGATTTGTATCTAGTAAAATTCACCATAATCTCAATTTTGATAAAAATTATTTAAATATCGATATTTTCCCCTGTTGACCACCTTAAGCTATTGTACTGACATTTAGTGTTAATTAAAACTTTCTTTTTTTATTCCAGAAGCCTAGAGTTCATGCTGAGAAATTTGCTAAACCTAGTGGTTTTCATGCTGAGAAGATTGAAAAGACATAAGCACTGTTGGCCTGTTGGCACTTCTGTGATCAATTAGATTATTTTCTTTCAACTTTGGACAGTACTGTTGGTGTCCACAGTTGCTTGCCTGATCCTTTACAGCAGGATAAGTTAAGTCTAGGCAACCATGATTGACATTTTATTCCCTTTACTGTCCTTTTCTGTGGATTGTCTGTAATACTTGCACAGTGCCTAGTTGGAATGTTGTCAAATTGTGTGTAGCCAAGTCTTACTGTTTAAACTTTGTCATTCATTATTCTGACTATAATAAATGAGAGAAAGAAAAGAAAGAAACTAAGTGGAACACCTTTTGAAAATAAATACCATTTTTTTATTTTTCCATATAATTTTGATATCAAGAGAGATAGAAATATATAGATTATAGCTTTTTAAAATATAGTCATCCCTAAAACTGCCAGTAAATAATGTTTCTAAAATAATTTTTTTTATTTTTCATATTTTATTTAAAATATTGAGAACAAAAATACTGTGTTTAGTTCAACATAACCAGGCCCCCAAAACTTTTAGGCTACACATACATGCACACCAGAAGCAATGTTTTCAATTTGCATTCTGAAAACTAAATAAATTTAATTTACAGTTGAATGTTAGCTGTCTGTTGGGAAAGATGATATTGTCTCCCAATCAGATGCTGTTTGCCAATGCTAATTTAGACTCTTGAAGGAGTGTATGTTCGCATACCATTAATAAACATAAGAATATAAATTTGGCCTGAGCTATTTTATCTGTAATCATATTTTAAAACAGTTGCAGAACTTATCATTTTCTGTTTCCAGAAAAGCAAATTATGTAAAATACCAAAATACTCTTTACCATTCTGTTAGATTACCTTTAGAGGAAACTGTGAAAAATATGGAGGATAATTAAATCATTGCCAGTAATATTGTACTATATTTTAACTTAATTTACCACAAAAAAAATTCAGAAAAATGGACCTCATCAATGTTCATCATTTATTATATTCGAAACATTCACTGCCTTTTTTTAATAACATTATATAATTGAATATTTCATGTCCAAGAGTGTTTTATGTGTCAATTACTTTGTTCTGGATGGTGGTGGTGCTGGGTAGGGCTAAAATGAGATTTGAACTTAGTACTTTCATTTCTGTATTGCTTTTTTTTACCATTCACTAAATGTTTTTTAAAAGAAATCTTGCTTTGTAAACTACACGATGTACATTTTTTATAAATCTAGACAAGTAGTCAATCGTTTTCTATAATTTGATGAAGCAAAATGTTGACATGATCTCAAGAGATTTAGAGTAAATATTTGTTCATGCTTAAAAAAGCGGCATTTAAAGAACCTGTTTTTAATTTTTTTTTGTGGTAGTTTTTTTTTTGTAGCTAAAAAGACTCAGGAAAACTTGTGCGCCAATGTTATTGGAATTCTAATAAAGAAAAATAGGTCACTTTTAACTTGGCTTTTAAGTGAGTGAGGAGCATGTTTTGACATATCATTAAGCTTAGGTCAACAATATCTACTATTTGCTGATATTAAAATATGATTTCACCAGGATTTCAATTCATAAATTTACCTATTGATCAAACTTGGAGCAGAAACTTAAAAATGTTAATGCCAAATAACTTTCTTTTCCACTTATAATATGGGTATCATGTCTTAAATTTCAAACAAAATAATATGGATATCATGTCTTAAATTTCAAACAAACAAAAGAAACTTGTACTGAATGCAATCTTTGATATTTTAGACCTAAATTCTTAGGGTTTTTTTTAATAATCTTTCTGATAAATTATTCCTTTAAAATTGTTTTTATTTTTTTGTGTACTTTTATTTTTTAAAGGTGTCCGGAACATACTTGTGAAACTGGTCTTTATTTCGTTGCTTTTGTTCCTACTCTGTCCAATTAAATTATGTGCAATTTTCCATTTGATGCCAATGTTTTTTTTTCCTTGGTAACTTTAAATTTCTCCCCACAGTTCTGATTTAGAAGTTGTTTCGTAACTCCATGTTGTACACTTCTCATTATTTGTGTGTGCTTACCTATTATTTCATTCTGAAAGTGCAGAAAATGATTTGTTGTAGATCATATGTGCTTACGGCTATAAGGGCAATGTCCCATCTTGTTTCATCAGCCTATGTTTGTATACAACACATGTTATCCTTTCAAGCGGAAAGTGTGTCATATCATAAACTCATGCAGCTTCCTGTGATGAGGTCAAGACATACCATTTAATATTTCTTACGATGTTACATTTATCTAGGATAACTTGATGTTGATAAAAACAGTAGTTTTATATATTTTTTTCATTTAAGGTATGACTGTTAATTCAAAATATTTTGTAAATGAGGAAAAATAAATTAGCATCTCTGGGTAAAATTCTAACACTTAACCCCTTAAATAGCCATCATGCCTCACATCTGGGCACGGTTTAACTTTGCCCATTCACATTTAAACATGGCAAGTACATCAATACCCTTCTTTCAATTATATTTTCAAGTAGGCAGGCTGAAGAGCCAAAACGTCTGGTGGAAATTTATCACAATTTAGATATTTAATCACTGTCATCATATATAGGAAAAGCTAGATAGGGTTTGTACATAAACATTTGTATATGTTATAACACTACCCAAGCAAGCAAATGCCTGTGCTGGGAAATGAGTTGAAATACACCTAATTATAGACCACTCCCAGGTCATGCTGTAAGGGTTTAGCTAGATATAATTCAAGAAAACAAGTGCCTGGACTGTTAACATGTGGGTTTTTTTTCTCAAATAAATTCTTATAAAAAGCTTTTATTTTTAATACAAATCAAATTTTAATAATTCTTTTTGCTGCAGTGTTTATTCTTAAGGTTAAAGTGACCATGTAACCTTTGTTGAATTTGTTCAGAGCTCAAGGAATTATGCATTGAATAGGTTATCTTACAAATGAAAAGATTACAACAAAAAAAAACATTAAAAAAATCACCCCAATAATTCTCTGGGCGGTGCTAGATTTCAGATTCATTGAAGCCGGAAATACATTGACATTGCAACTCAAAAATCTGTGGCATATAAGGGGTTAACAATTTCTTACTTAGTGATGACACCCATTAAACGTTTGTATATAAATAAAATAATGCTAGAATAAATGACCACGTCGTTAATCAAAGTTTAAAGGAGGGAAAAAAAGGTTCTCTAGTGTAAGATTTAGTAATGTTTATGTGATTGTGTTGGAGCAAGCTGTCAGAAAATATAATAAAGCATTTTTTAATGTTCGTTCTAATTTCTTTGTAGCTCTCTCTTTCACCCCCACACACACCCACCTAAAAGACCTACAAATGAAAGACTCTTTTTTGAAGTCTTCACTGGGAAAGCATTTATCAAAACTGTGCACCGGACGAAAACTAGCATAAAAATTGGCCCCTAAATCTCCTTACAGGCTGATATTTCTAGTGAAACCTCCAGAAAAATAATAATTTCCTTAGTACTTTCACTATATTCAAATACAATAGAACTCATAAATTTGATATTACTTAGGGTTATTATTCATCATGTTATTTTGTACACCTTGATGTGTAGGCACTCTTTCAAACTTGCCAGTGACTTTATATCACATCGTTTTACATGCATTGCAAGTTTATTCCATTTTTTTTCACGATTACTTAAGCTTTTCATATTTTATGCCATTTTTGTCTTCAGTATTTCTCAGTATACCGACCTTTCACTCAGTCTTAATAATTTATTTGTGAAAATGCATTTTTTTGCGTTTTTTTTTTTCTGATTTATTTTTTTAAAAATCATTTTTATAAAGCCATGCTATTAGCATATATAAAATTAGTTTAGGATTGGTTTATCATTCTTTAAAATATATTGTGCTGACTATAGTCTGTAGTTATACAAGAACATTTTAAACCATATCCTTTTTAACAAGTTTTTTTTAAAGATGACTGGTTTATCCTTATATTTTTGAACTGCAAAAATTTAAAAAATAACTTGATAGCTAATATTAAAGTCATAACTAGAGAGTAAATTCAAAATCCACATAAGGGTTACATGGTAAATGTTCTAAAGAGACTTTTCATGTAGGAAGCAAAAATAGTTCTGTCTATCAAAATCTTTTCCATTGCAGCATCATGATTAAGAATGCATAATAAAATGTTTCACTCCTGTCATTACTTATGCATTTACCCATATGTGTCCTGTTTGAGGTATTAACATAGATATAAAGCATTGGAGATTGTTTCAAAGCTTATATTTGTTACATTTTACTGTACGGTACATGGAAAAATATCAGGATAATGTCTGTGTTACAGAATAATTAATACCTTAAGAAAGGTCCATAGGTATGTACTATATACTATACTTATTGAAGTTTGGACCTTACTTAAGTTGGACTCAATACAGGCTCATAAAGTTTAAAAATAGTAATGTGAAAGAAAGTATAGTGTACTATTATTATTATTATTATTAGTGGTGGTTTTATATAGCGCTGTACCCAAGCCTAGGGCTGGGTTCACTACGCTGTACATACAATTTAACAAACATAGTCATGAACTTAAAAATGAACATACATTAATTAAATAAAAAAAACAAATGTATATTTACTCCTTACATTCAGAACTATTTACATACATGTCAAGACAGAATATACTAAAGACAGAATAAGCTGTACTACGCTTTATAATGGCTTTTAAATGGAGTAAGAGAGAACCAGCAATCAATATAAGTAAGCTATCCTAATGATAGAGACAGGTTTTTAAGCTCATTAAAAATAATTGTAGAGTAATAGGTCAATATAAAACCCATAACATTCTATTCTTTCTGAAAGATATTTTATTTCCCAAAATAGTTTATTTAAAATCACTGTTTGACATTACTGTTTTTTCTTTAAATTATCCCCAACGGAAAGGAATCATTTGTCATTGAGAGGACTTTTAAAATTGCAAAATTCACCTTGGTCATTCATTTACACTGTCATTTTTTGAAGGATAAATTGTTGCTCATTTTTTAGCCAAGTCTGTAACTTTGAACATAGAAATGAATTGTTATATTTTATTAACTAAAGCTTAATTCAACTAGCGAGTATCTAGAATTTGACAGAAGCAGTTCAAGTAAGTAATAAGTAACTAAATGATTTATTTCTGATTATTTGTATGCAAATTAATTTTTTTTAAATTTAATGTTCTTTTCAAGGCCAAATGAATAGAGCTTTTAATGTTGTCTTATTTTATCACAAGAAACTAACGAAAGGGGTTTACAGACCAGCCCCCGCAGTTTTATTTGCTTCATTGTATATAATCTTTGTACATTTCGATCCAAAGCTAATAAAATTTGTTGCTTTCTGTACCTATTTTGTTTTAGTTATTCAATTTGGTCTATGAACTTTTGACCACAAACATTACCTTTTGGTTTGGAGTAAAAAAAGGCTGAGACAAGTAGTGTCCACGCCCTGCCTCACAAAAAATTTAGATTTTATTGAAGTATTGCGCAGAAAGATTTAGTGAAATGATATAAAAAGTCAGCTGATCTAAAAGTTAAAGGTTAACTGTTAAGACATTTGTTATTGGTTAATTAGCAATCTATATTTGGATTGATTTTGTTCAGAGACTTCTTCCAGATCAAACCATTAAATCTCATAGTGCTTCTTATGATCTCAAAACCCTAAAGGGTGATTTAAAAAGAAAAGCATCAGTGGGTAATGATTCAGTTAAAGTAATTAAAGCAGGATTGAAACTGAGTTAGCAAAATAGAAATATGGCCTAAAAGGGAGTGAAGACCAGAATGCATTGTTAATGGCCAAAGATGTAGGCATTGCTCCAATTTGAGAAAATGAAGATAGTGAGAGTACTGGAATGATTAAATATCGACTGATGTGAATGCATAAAAATTTATGAACCAATTATCTGGATGAAGAGAAGTCACTGTTTTGTAGTTATGTTACGCTAATATAGTCTTCAGGTATAGTAAGATTGAAATATTGAATGTTAAGATGTTTCTAAAGCCATAAAGATGGTAAGATGTGGGATCTGTCTCCATGATCAGATTACTATTTTACTCAATTGCTCTGTGCAAAGTCTCTGTGGGATCTCTGCAATTTCTTTTTGACTGGGATGTCAATTCTAGTGCTGTCCTTGGAAGTAAGGCAAGTGGCATTCTACAAGCCATCTCCGCTGACTTGCATGTATGGTTTTTGCATTTGCTGTCACTCTATGGCATCACAGCTTTCACAATTAGAGATTGAAATTCAAAAGATTTAATGGATCCTTTTGTCTGATATCAAAGTGGTCTGGCTGCAATTTCCATAAAGGATAACGGACAAGAAATTACTTTAAAAATTCCGATCTAGTGTATGCTCAGGTCGCTCAGTCTCCAAAGCCCTTATCTGCCTTGCTGATCCTTGTGGCAGAGTAGCAATTCAAGATGTAAAACACTTTCTAAAAAACATTCTCAGTTGTGCTTTTTTTTTTTTTTTTAAAGGGGGAGGGGTCACTGGCATAGCTAGGGTTAGTGCCCCTTGGGGCAGATAAAAAATGCCGTGTCCCCCCCCCCAAAAAAAAACTTACTTTCTAAAAAACATTCTCAGTTGTGCTTTTTTTTTTTTAAAGGGGGAGGGGTCACTGGCATAGCTAGGGTTAGTGCCCCTTGGGGCAGATAAAAAATGTCGTGTCCCCCCCCCCAAAAAAAAACTTTGATGTTAGCCAGGGGTGAGGTTGGAGTGACATAAGCCCTAGCTATTCCATTCATTTTAGTAAATATGCAACTTTAACCATATTTCCTTACATGTTTTCTCAATCCTTATGGAGCTCATGAAACATTTTGACATGCTCTCATGAAGTTGTTGTGTACACGTGACTAGTATCAACTAAAAATAATATGGTCACTTCAGTCCTAGTTTTGCACCTTTGGCTGCAGCCTGCTGCACATTGTCTAGGAATTTAAAATGAGACCTTTTGATAACCTCTTAAGGTGGAGACCCCTGCTTGAGTGTCCTGGACCATATTACACAACAGTGTTTATCCTTTTCATTTATTCTTTATCTATTCATTCTTTCTGGCTAATCTTATATTACTTATTTTGACTCTTATCTTTTATAAAAAAAACGCTTATAAACCAGACCTGATTTTTTCTTTAAATAAAAAATACATTTTTTTCACTACTTCCCTAGGTAAGTGAATCTTTAAAAAAAAAAAAACTATTATTTTTAAATAGATCGAATCTGAAATTTACACTAATTTGGATTTCAATATTTAAAAGAAAATAGTCCCTGCTTCTTCATGTCAATTTATACGTTCATTTAATTGGTGTAATCAAAAACTAAAATTTGCCTTGGTCGTCGGTGAGAATTAAGATTAATTACCATTAATTTTTCATTTTGGATCAGATGACACCGCTGTTGAGAAGAAATATGACAATCATAAAATGCATGTTGATTTTGTGGTACGATCAAGTTTTAACAGGAACATAAGAATTTGTAGTAAAACTAGATATATTGTTTGCAAATTAGTTTCCCTTAAGAAAGTACTTAACCAGGCGTAAATCTTTTTAAAATTGGGCAGGATAAAGTGAAATGGAGTTACTGAGAGACCATTTGTGTGCAAACTTTGTACATGTCAAGTGCGATAAACCTGTGTGACTAGCTTTCCAATATGAACTAAAATTTGGACAACATAATGCGGTTTAAGTGACTTCTTAAGAAATTTCAATTTCTGTGCAAAATGTCTACAAAAATGAAAGGTTTAATGAAATATGAATCCTATCTTTTTGGTGAAAAGATACAATATAAAATAATTACTGTATTTATTGGCGTATAACACGCACCTTTTCTCCCCGAAAATAGGGGGCAAATCATCTGTGCGTGTTATACGCCGATATAATGTTTAGTTTTTTCCCCTGAAATTTCCTTCTTAAATTGAGGTGCATGTTATACGCCAATAAATACGGTATATTGAAAACTGTATTTTTGTTGTAAAAAGCTGAGATTCAAAATAATTTATAATAAATTTTTTTAGATCAACAAAAACCACTTGGTATTTTTTAAACATGTTTAATAGAAAATAAGGGCTAACACATAAAGCCTGAGTGTGAGCTAACATTTGGTGATACTAATGTATTCTAGGACTATTACAAAAAATCTCATTGCTCACAAGTAGGATAAATCTCCTTTGTGTAAATGTAATCATTTAAAAAAAATGGTGCTCTGCATCTGAATTTAAATAATTAGATAACGTAAAATGATAAATTAGTGCAACATTATTTATTTGGTACAAAAGAATACAAACTCTTTATGATTATTATTACAAAGGACTCTTGGGATAGATTTTAAAAATGAGATTCACAGATGACAACGAAACAAAATGAGTAAAAACTTAAATTAAGAATGTAATTTCACAACCTAATTAATAATAATTTATATTTAAGTGTAGTGTTTTTAGATGCGCTAAATAGAATGTACGTTGAGGAATGTTAAATCATTCATTTTAGCTTAGTACAACAAAGCTTTTAAAAAAAAAATTTTTTTTGGAAAACAGATGTTCATCCTTTGGTCCTGTGAAAATTTTCCTGAAAAATTAAAAATTACCTAAAGCAACTCATAAATTCATATAAATATAAGTAGATTGGATTTTAAATTTAAAAAAAAAAATTATCTACATTTACATATTAATTGGAGAAAAAAACATTAAAAAAGAAAGTTTTTAATGAGATATCTCAATGCACTAAAATAACATTAATT